CACAATTTCATACTAAATTTAAAAACTATAATTAGTATTTATTCATATATTATATTTTAAAATCAAAGAACTACTAATCAGGATATAATTAAAGAAATAAGAGTTCATGTTGCTTTTAAAATATTTCACCAATTTCTCTAAAGGAAACACTATCTACAGATTTGCATCGAAGGTTTTTTTTTTATCGTGATTTTAATCACTGTCAGATATCATTATACTTGATCCAACTATGCCATGTAACCACTGTGCCGCGACCCCCCTGTGCTGGGTTTTTTTATACTAAAACCTTAGATATTTTCCTTTCATTTGATATCATTTTTTTGAAAATCTATCATTTAACCTGCTCATTGGGGGGGATTTAAAATAGTAAATTTTTTACAAAAACTAAATTTTTGAAAATATTCCAGAAATACTGCGTTCTTTAAACATATATCAAATTAAAGCTTATTTTATGTACTATAAAATAACAAAAAAAATTTGTCCCGACACCTTATCTTCGTTTATTTCGTGCAATAAGCTGCCGTAGTTAAAAAAACGCTATTTTTGTGTTAAAATTTTCGATTTTAAATTTTCAAATTAAAAATGCTATAACTTTTCGAAAAATGTATGTATCAGCACCAATTTTTTTTTCCTAAATACACTATAAGTACATCTTTCAACGATTAAAAAAATAGGTTAAATATGTCATTTTCCTTATTTTTAATATATTAATAATCAAAATCAGTATTAATTTAAAACAATTTTTTTTTGTTCTTAATTATTTTTTTTTATATGTAAATACTATTTTTTAATAATATTAAAACTTAGAAGTGATAGAAAAAGTCTAATTGCACATTTGAAAACATCGCGAAAAATTGATTTAGAAAAGTATATTTTTGTTTCTGATGAAAGTTCCTTGTAGTCCAGTGTATAAAACTTATAACTTTGTTAATTGTTATAACTTTATCAAAAATGACCAAATCAGTATATTTTTTTTTATTTAGATGCATGTCTTTATCTATCATTTGGTTTTTTTTATAAATCTAACCCTTTACCTGCCCACAAGAGGGATTCAAAATATTAACTTTTTTTTTTTTAGTTAAAGTAAATCATTAAAATTAATTAAGTTCTCAATATTTCAATTATAGAATCTTTTCAACAAACAACAAAAGTTCCTAGGAAATTATTACTATTACTTCTATTTAAGTTATCTATTACCATAAAAATGCAAAAAAATATTGAGCTTTTCTGATAAATTTACAATAAATAGTAATTATAAAACTTTCTGACTGCATATTGATCTTAACGATACAATTTTTTTAATTGTCATAAAATTTTCTATTTAATTATGTCAATGTCAAACTTACCAATTGAGCTAAAAGTTATGGTAAAATAAATTTTTTTTTTTTATTATAAACATTTACAACAATCAACTTTAAACGATTAACAAAATAGGTTAAATATGTCATTTTCCTTATTTTTAACTTATTAATAATCAAATTAATATTAAATATTATATCAAATCAGTATTAATTTAAAACAATTTTTTTTGTTCTTAATTATTTTTTTTTATATGTAAAAACTATTTTTTAATAATATTAAAACTTAGAAGTTATAGAAAAAGTCTAATTGCACATTTTAAAACATCGCGAAAAGTTGATTTAGAATAGTATATTTTTGTTTCTGATGGAAGTTCCTTGTAGTCCAGTGTATAAAACTTATAACTTTGTTAATTGTTATAACTTTATCAAAAATGACCAAATCAGTATATTTTTTTTTATTTAGATGCATGTCTTTATCTATCATTTGGTTTTTTTTATAAATCTAACCCTTTACCTGCCCACAAGAGGGATTCAAAATAATAACTTTTTTTTTTAGTTAAAGTAAATCATTAAAATTAATTCAGTTCTGGATATTTCAATTGTAGAATCTTTTTAAATACCAAAAGTTACTTAGAAATGATTACTATGATTTTTATTTAAGTGTTCTATTACGATAAAAATGCAAAAAAATAATGAGTTTTTCTGATAAATATACTGTAAATAGTAATTATAAAATTTCCTAACTGCATATTAATCTTAACAATTTCATTTTTTTCTATTTAATAATGTCAAGTTCAAACTTGTAAGTTGAGCTAAAAGTTAATAATTGGGTTGGGTTTTTTTTTTATAAGAAACTTTCACTTTAAAGGACGAAATAAAGTAGGTTAAAAATTATTACTTTTAACATATTAAAAATTAAAATCAATAATAATTTGAAAACAATTCAATATAACAATTATATAATATAAAATTTTATATTACATTTTTTAATCTAAGAATAATTCGGATATAATTTAGGAAATAGTTGATGTTGCTTTTGTAATTATCCACTAATTTCTGAGAATTAAACATTATTTACAGATTTGCATAGAAGCGTTTCTTATGATATGCTGGGTTTTTTTATATGTATGTAAATATTACAATTTTGGTTCATATTAAAAGCATATTTTTTTCATTTATCTTATTATATAAAAGAATAAGGAAAAATCGTTTTTCTAAGAAAATTACTTAGTGCTCGAATTTTCAAAAAAAAACTTTTCAACGAAAGTACTCGGTTTCAAGACTCAAAATTATTAGAGAAGGTTGTAAAATTTTTAACGCTCACTCGTGAGCGTTTTAAAATTTCGAGAAAAACGATCGCTGACGACTAGGTTTGAAATTTTCACCAGACCTGGCCAAAGACATTTCTTAGATATCATAAAAAAATGAATCGAATACATTCATTTTTCACCATTCTTGGAGCTTTTTTTTGACACGTGCATGTTTTTAATAATGTTATCAACTCCTTTTTGCGCATATAAATATACATTGTATATATATATATATATATATATTGACTCTGAATTTGTAGAAAATGGATTTTTAAGATAATTCTTCTCTATACATTTTTGAACGGTTAAGTATATACGATTGCTTACTATCAGAACAGTACAGTATTATTAGTTATTAATTAGATGAACATAATGCCCATGTACTTAGACCTGTTGGTCCATTGTGTACAGTACAGTATTATTAATCATATTTATCTCAATTATGATGTATATGTCTATGATTTTATTGTAAAAATCGAGATTCGTCTATGAAAACTATACTGTCCAACGTCAAATCAGAGTGACCAATATTCTTATTAAAATTGAATTTTTTATATAGAGTAAGTTAAATTTCTATATTTTTTTATTGTTGTAACAATTGATCTGTTTCCTTATTTACTGAACACCTGTATATTCCCACAAATAATAACCTGCCGAATTTTTTTGTTATTATTCTATAATAGTAATAAAATTATTATAATTAGAAAATTAATAATTATTGTGTATGCCAGGAACGTATTTAAGTGGGATATGGGTGATTTCCCCTCTTGAACCAGCGTTATCAATATTTTTTAGGAAACTTCTAAGAAATATGGACCTAATGACTTTTTTTTGATTATCATTTTGATTTTGATTATTTTGAAAATAAAATTCTATAGTATGTTTACCTAAGTAAAAAAATTTGAATGCCCTCCTAAAATAATTTCTGAATACGCCCAAGGGGAATACCTAATACCCAATACATTATTCCCAATACATTTTACGATATGCTCTTTTTGAATTTTCCTGATTTTAATAACTAAATTTTTAATATATTTTTGTTACGCTGATTTTGATGTAATATTTTTCCTACAAAACACTTATCGTGCCCAACGTTGCCGGTTTTTCCTACCGGAACAGTGGTCTACTTACAAGGATGGCTCAAAGAGGCTTACGCGCCGAAGGCGTGTGAGGCTACCAGGGCCCCAGGTCTGAGACGGCTTCGCGAAGCCTAGTAAATAATAAGAAAAAAATTTTAATTTAATTTATTTTTCATTTCAAAATAGTTATTTTTTACAATAACTTTTATTATGTCGCTAACAACTTTAGAATGTGTAATTATTGTATTACAAACTATTAATACATAAGGTATGTATGTAGTTCGGATGGAGTATGAGTTGTACCCACCTGCGCTATATACTCACTCTATTTTCTTGTTATTAATAATTAAAAATAAGAATTTTTAGGTTCTATACAAAATATTTCTAATTAACCCATCTAGGTTTTTCAATTCTGTCTCTATTTCCACAATTCTGACCCAGCTTATTTTGATTTATTTTTTCGAAAATATTTTTTACGTATTCGAATATTAAAAAATATGTTTTTAAATAGTCATACTTGTTATGCATGACTATCAGTAAATCAGGACCAAATTAAGACCTACATGACTCTCCTATTAATATCACGTGGATAATATATTTTTAATTTAATGAATATTTCAAGGTAAACATATTTGTCTTAATATGTTTTTGCAAATCACTAAAATATAAGTGACTTAAAAAGTAAAAAAATGCAAAATAAAAGGTCCATTTTTGTATTTTCCATTTCAAGAAATCAAAAATAGCTACAGACATAAATCAAACTACGAGCTGACTAAGCCATAAACTGACCCAATATTTAAGACGCTTTCCGGATAGTAAGCGTAAAAATGCAGGATTCTACAGGAATAATTGTTCATCACACAATTTTTAAACTATCATAGTGTAAGAATTACATAATAATGATCAGTTTTTACATCCTTGTCCTACAGAGGGTGGTGGCCTTTTTTCACACATTAGCCAAAGATGGTTCTTCTCTAGGTCAATGATGGACGGGATGGATATTATTTCCAGCTTGCACCAGAGACCAGATAGCACAAGACTAAAAATTTATAAAAAAAAAAAACAATAAGTTGTTAAAAAAATCTACTCAGTTGAGTGTATTATAAAATTTGATTATAATAGTTAAAATCCATTGTTAAATTTAGGTGAAACTAAAAATCATTTTTTTGAAAATGATTTATATAGCAACATGTTACCAAAAAATTTGGAATATTATTGACTGGTAGTAGCACACACAAATAGTTAAAAAATTAATAAATTACAAGGTAAAATTATTTAATTTTGTAGTTGAAATCTATTATCATATCAAACCTAATTCGACAATAAATATACATTAAAATCAGTAGAAATGAATGCTTTTAATTTTTTTTATGGAGAAATTTGGTTAAGCAAATTTTTATATGATAAAGGGGTATTATTTAAAATTTTTGAATATAAATATATTTTTTAATATCATCAACTAGACATTAGTTGTGATTATTTGACGTATCGTTGAAAAAGTTAGTCCAGTGAGATCTGAGAAAAATGAATGACAGACATAAAAGAAATACCACATAGTAAATTGATTTTACTATGAATAAGAAATTCTTACAATGGAAATTACAGTTATGGGGTTCTTAAGTTAGAAGTTATTTAATCAAAATGAGATAAACATTAAATTAATTTTGAATTTTTTATAAAACTCAAAAAGAATTAAGAAAATATTCGAAAAATTATTTTGATGGGATTCGAGATACGAACTTCGTACATCGAGCGTGAAAGACTTAAGTGTAACGGACTCGACAACTGTACATCATACTAGATAAATTTAAAGACAATTTAAGTTGTATCGAAAATTTAAAGTTTCTCTTAACGTAGGAGGCAAAATATTCAAAATAAGTTTAAATTTATATTCAATTTAAATTAGATTCATGTAATTTTTACAAAAATCGGTGGACTCATTATATGGCAAACCCTTATAAGCAGGGCTCGAGACTTATAGCATTTGCTTGAAAATGCTTTTTTTTGCTATTTTTGATGATTTTAAAAAAACAAATGCTTGTTTCTTGTTTTTTATATTTTTGTACATTAAAATATTTTCTTTATGACGCAGCCTACCCAGGTTTTTTTTATCGGTTTTTGATAGATCTAATAAGGAAAATAATTCAATTGCCTTCCATGCTTGTAGGGTTTTGTCTTTGTTATCTTATCTGTATGATAGTCAACGCCGTTAACTTCTTTAGCTATGGTTGAAGTGTCATACTAGTGTGGTACTTAGTTGATTTCCATTGTATAATGGATTTCTCGGTAACCAATATTTTTAGACCGTTATGGCATACTGGGATATCTATACAAATCAAATTTTGATTTTAGTTCAGTACCTTGTTAATTCTTTAATTGTTAATTAAAATCACTATAAAAAAAAAAGGCTTCGATGCAAATTTTTAGATATTGTTTAATTTTAAAAAATTGGTGTATTATTCCAAAAGCTACATGATCTGCTAGTTCCTTATTAATATCCTGATTAAGATAAAGTATGTCGAATGAAAAAGGGATTATTAAAAAATATTATTTCTCATAAAAAAATTGTGTTGATCCATACACTTTTCAATAAGTTCTAGCATTATAAAGTTAAATATGTAAAAAATAAAAACGAGCATTTTCACACAATAATAGCATTTGGTAGCCATTTTCACCGTGAAGACAAAATAAAGTCCGAATTTTTTTTTTCCATGATAAAGTATATTACATTAGCTTTAATTTAATATATATATAAAAGTGCCAGTATTTCCGGAACACTTTCAAAAGTTAAGTTGAAAAAGTTGTCATTTTGAATCCCCCCTTGTGTGTTGGTAAAGGGTTAAATTTATAAAAAAAAAAATACCAAATGATAGGTAAAGACATCAAGCATCTTTAAACAAAAAATTATATTGATATGTTCATTTTTGAAAAAGTTACAGCAGTTTTTAGTAAAAAAAATGAAAAAATTTCGAAAATTAGCTATTTTTAAATTTGTAATTTTTTTGGAGGTTTCCTCCATTTACGGGAAACGAGGGAAAGTTTTTCAATTTTTGAGGGTAATGTCTTCGACAATTTGTGATCTTTTGATGTATCGTTGAAAGAAATCCGTTCGGTGAGAGCTGAGAAAAAGTGGTAACAGACACAAAAAAAATAAATAAATAAATAAACACATCTTAGTAAAACCAATACCTTCTCAGCTTCGCGTCGATGCTAAAAATTGAAAAAATGTCAAAAATTACCAATTTTTAAAATTGTAGTTTTTTGGGGGGATTTGTCCCATTTACGGGGAACGAGGGATTGTTTTTCAAATTTTTGGTGGGAAATGTCTTCGACTAGATATAATTTGTGATCTTTTTCATCAAAATCGGTCCAATGAGAGCTGAAAATGAATGGTAACAGATACAAAAAAAAGACACATAGTAAAATTAATATCTTCTTAGCTTCGCATCAAATCTAAAATATTTTTCTTAATAAAAAAAAAGTAAAATAATTTTTCAATTCTTAAATGCAATGACTTAAAAAACGTAAGAGTAACTAGTCTCAGAAAAATAATTTAACGGAAAATAAGGTCACCTATTTTCGGTTAAATTATTTTTTGTAAATCGGCAAAAATTCTATCCGAGTGAATTTTAATCGGTTAAAATCTGGTTGGTAGAAATACATTCTTATAAGATCTGTCGGTCAAATAATTTTTGGTTGTTATATGTCCGTCACTTTTAAATGATATAAAGATTATTTTAGCTTCGATGCGAAGCTGAGAAGGTATTGGTTTTACTAAGATGTGTTTTTTTTTTTTTTTTTTTTTTTTTTTTTTTTTTTTTTTTTTTAT